AGGTTGGATTAAGTCACACACACCTTTAAAGCCAGTACTGGGAGGCAGAGGCAGGCAGATATCTGAGTTTATATCATGAATTCAGGTTTGCCAGTGCTCTCAAAAAATAGTAAGGTAGTGAGAGGGATTGTCACCTAGATGGGAAAATGCTGTGAAGGTGGCAGTGTAGCTGAGTTAGTCAGGAGGGGCCCTCTGACATGATGACAGTAGAGCAGAGAGTGGAGAGCAAAGGGCCATGAGGAGCTAGGAGAGCTTTCAGAGGAAAGTGCTCTACTGACCTTTCTCCGTCTACTTGTGCTTGTTAATTCTTGTTACCGTGCACTGTCCCTGTCACTATCAGTTATTTACGTGTGTGTGTGTGTGTGTGTGTGTGTGTGTGTGTGTGCACACCTTGTGTCAGTTGGCCCTCTCCTTTCACCAGAACTCCTACTAAGCTCAGCATTTCAAAGAGATGAATGAGCAACAGATTGAGATCTGGGTGAGGCGCTCTCAGGGTCCTAAGGGGCTCTTGTTAGAGAATAGAAGGGAGACACTTGGAAGAGGGAAGAACGGGCCTGCCTCTGAGGACAGTGGTTCTCAACTTTCCCAGTGCTGTGACCCTTTAATACAGTTCTTCATCGTGTGGGGACCCCAGCCATAAAAATATTATTGTTGCTACTTCATAACTGTATTTTGCAGCTGTTATGAATCATAATGTAAATATTTTGGAGATAGAGGTTTGCCGAAGGAGTCCCAACTTACAGATTGTGAACTGCTGCAGGGTCAGGGAAGCCTTGAAAGTTAGGATTTCAGGCTTCAGGCTAAGTCTGAGCAAGGGAATGACTGGGTCTGACACGCTTTAAAGAATTACTGGCTTTTTCCTGAATAGAAAGCTAATTCTACAAAATCTCATGTCAAGCTGCATGGTGATATGTTCCTGAAATCCTAGCACTTGGGACATTAAGGCAGGAGATACCTGTTCAGACCAGCCTGGCCTACATAATCAGATCCTTTTTTCAAAAAACCAAAACCAAATCAAATCAAGTCACATCAATTTGAATGCAAGTCTTAAGGCAGTTATGTGTTCATCTCTCTTGGCTGTGTAATTACGCGTTGTGTTGTTGAGTCTGGTGAGTGCATGCTGAACTTTGACAAGCCTGTTAAAGGATTTTTTACTTGCATTCTTAGTAGTAGTATGTGGGTTCAAGTTGCTCAACATTCCTGCTAGTACTTAGTCTCTTTAATTATGGCTGTTATAGTGGCTGTGTTGTGTGTCACTGTCACGGTAATGTTTCTTAGATCTGGTGGAAGTCTAGGAAAATGCTTAAGTTGGTAGATAACTTTGAATATTGGGTAAGCTTTAGGTGGATCCAGAATTGTCCTCCTTTTCTAGTACTATTGAGTGCACCCAACTTGACATCATTTTATAGATTGCCTTAACGGTTTGATGTGTGAGCACTTTTTATATTTGATCACATTGCTATTTTGGGATGAGGTCTTATGCAATAACTCTGAGAGTGTTCAATGTAAACTAAATTCTTCCTTTGTTGAAGGTCAAATAAGCCTTGAGATTTGTCTCCCTGCCATTTCATTGTAAGATTTTATATTGTTCGCTTTTCATCCATAGTTTTTAGTTGGACTTTGAGTATGATATGGGCTTCCCTAACATCACTCAGCATATTCATTAACTTTTAAATGCAGTAGTGTTGTTTTTCTTTAGGTTTCAGATACATTACTCGTCCCCAATTCTAGGCCTTTATGCTTTATCTACCTTACAGCTTTAAACTTTTTAAAGCTTAGGTTTATTTGTTTTGTTTTGCCTGTATACATGCCTGTGCACTGTGTGTGCTTACTGCCTGTGTAGGTTAGAAAAGGGCATTGGGTGACCTGGAACTGGAGTTGCGAATAGTTGTGAGCCTCCCTGCTGGTGCTAGGAATCTAACCTGGGCATTCTGCAGGAGCAACAAATGCTCCTAAGTGCCTAGTCACCGCTCTAGATCTCTAAACTTACTTTGACTATGGCTCCATTTTAACATTGTTCTTGCCCTTTGGAGACAGGGTGTCATGTAAACTCAAGCTGGTCTCAGACTTGCTAAGTAGTGGAGAATGGCTTCCTGCCGCTAATTTTCTTGTTCAGTTTTTACTCGTTCTCTACTATTCTTAATTTGGAGCTAATAGAACCCTGAATCTAAAATGCATTTTTAATATACGTTTACAGAACTTCATATTCGAGTGCAGCGTATTTAGTCATTTCTATCCCTTCCTCTGCCCTGTAGTCCCCCACCTTCATGACTGCACTTTTTAAAATTTGTTGTGGATACGGACATATGAGTGCATAGGAAGCCTGTGGAGGTCAGAGGACAGCTGTGGCAGTCAGCTCTCAGGCTTCTCTCTCAACGATGGGTTCTGGGAATTGCGTACAGGTGGCCAGACATTCGTGGCACATACTTTTCCTGCTGAGCTCCGTCTCCCAGCATTATGTGACTTTTTGAGATATAACTCATATTTGTGAATAGTTGGTTCATAGTGTCTTTATAACATTTTACCTAGCACGAGTGCCCAGTTTCCTTAATTTTTACCACTCCAGAACGAAACGTTTTAGCCCTTAGCAGTTGCTTCCTTTCTTCCTCTTATGCTTCTACTCTACTTAGGGATTTGCCTATTTTTCAAGTTTAATATAATTGGGATGCCTATATGGCCTTTTGTGTCTGGCTTCTTTCTCCTTAGCATAATTATTTTTAAAAATGGTTCTTCCAGTTTGCATTGTTCATCAATATTTCACTCTATTTTTGTTGCTGATTAATACTGTTCTTTTTTAATTTTTATTATTATTATTATTATTATTATATTTTATTAACTCTGTATCCCAGCTGCATCCTGCTCCCTCATTCCCTCCCAGTCCCACCCTCCCTCCCTCATCTCCACCGTGCCTCTTTCCAAGTCCACTGATAGGGGAGGACCTCCTCCCCTTTCATCTGACCCTGGTTTATCAGGTATCTTCAGGACTGGCTGCAAAGTCCTCTGTGGCCTAGCAGGACTGCTCCTCCCTTGGGGTGGGGAGAGGGGGAAAGGTCAAAGGGCCTGCCATTGAGTTCCTGTCAGAAATAGTCCCTGTTCCCCTTACTATGGGAAACCAATTGGTTACTGAGCTACCACGGGCTTCATCCAAGCAGAGGTTCTAGGTTATATCCATACATGGTCCTTAGTTGAAGAAACAGTCTCATAGAAGACCCCTGTGCCCAGATATATTTGGTCCTTGTGGAGCTCCTGTCCTCTCCAGGTCATACTAACTCCCCCTTCTTTCATATGATTCCCTGCACTCTGCCAAAGGTTTGGTTATGAGTTGCTGATTAATACTTTTCTTATGGAGAGATACCATATTTTGTTTAATGTATTTTTTTGGCAGTACTTGAGTTGTTTTTACTTTGTCACTGAATAATGCTGCATATATATATATATATATATATATATATATATATATATATATATATATGCCTATTTCGGTAGACATATATTCTCAGTTCTCTTACATATACCACAAGTGGAAATTTTGGATTCCTTGGTAACTCTGTTAAACTTCTGAGGCCCTCCGAGTGGTGGTGGCGTACACCTTTAATCCCAGCATGCAGAAGGCAGAGGCAGGCCAGCCTGGTCTCAATTCCAGGACAGCTAAGGCTACAACAGAAACCCTGTCTCGAAACAGCAGAGTAAACCAACCGACCAACCAAAGAAACAAAACAAAAAGCAACTAAAACTCTTGAGCATCTACTAGATGTTTTTCAGATTGGCTGTACCTTTCACAGTCTTTTTAGATGTGTCTGCATGCTCTCATTTTTCCATGTCCTTGCCAACATATGTTATTATCTAATTATAGCCATCCTTGTGGGTGTGAAATAGTATTTCATTGTGGTTTTGATTTACCCTTTTTGATGACAAATTACATTGAACATCTTTTCATGTTCTTATTGGTTATTTATATATCGGTGGAGAAATGTTTATTTATATCCCCTTCCCATTTAAAAAAGTTTGAGGAACTTTTATGAACTCTGAGTAGAAGTCATTCATCGTATGTGTTTTGGCCTGCAAACATTTTCTTCCATTCTGTTTCCTTTTTTTATTAGTGTCCTTTGAAACATAGAAGATTTTAGTTTTAGCTGAGTGAGGTGGCACATGCCTATAATTCCAGCACTCGAGGAGGCTTAGACAGGCAGATGCCCGTGAGTTCGAGGCCAGCCTGGGCTACAAAGCAAGTCCAGGGCAGCCAAGGCTACACAGAGAAACCCTGCCTTGAAAAACAAAACAAACAAACAGACAAAAAATTAGTTTTGCTAAATTGCAGTTTATTTATTTTTTTATATTGCTTGTGCTTTTGATAAAAAACAAACAAAAAAAAACAACCACTATGTAATTCAGTTTTTTTTTTTTGTTTTGTTTTTTTTTGTTTTTTTTGTAATTCAGTTTTTAAGATTTTTTTAAGACTGAGACAGCATTTTACCATGTAACTGGCTGGTTACATGGTTACTGGCTGTAATTTCTTACGCATGATGTCTAGTCCCAGCACTTGAGTGAAAGGATTATTCTTTTTTTATGAGTTGTTTTGGCATCCTTATTTAATTGATTGTGCATGTTTTCATGAAAAGGTTTCTGTAGTTTGTTAAATGCCCTTTCTGTATGTCTCCTAACGATTCCCTTATTTTATTAACATGGGTTATTTTGATTAATTTTATTTTTCAAGACATTAAAACCAACCTTGCTTTTCTGAGATCTCTTTTGTTCATGATACAAAACTCTTGTTTATATTGTGCTGGTTTGTTTTGATTTTGTTTCTTCAATGATTTTGATGTTAGTATCTACAAAGTATATTGATCTCTAATTTTCTCATACTATTTTAGAGACATACTGACATCTGCATGAGTCTTAGAAAATGTTCTGTTTCCTTATAGTTTCTAGAAGGGCTTATGAAGGACTGACATTAATTCTTTTTTAAGACTAATAGAATTTAAATTTGTTTTATTTTTTAGGATTCTCCTTTTACAAATGCAGGAATGGGATCTAATCTAAATCTCTTAGGAGAAATTGAGTGTGATGCCAGCATAATGGATGGAAAATCCTTAAATTTCGGAGCAGTTGGAGCACTGAGTGGTATGTGGGCATTTTGACATAGAATATCTATTGTTTGAACAACTGCATCTGTTACCACTTCATGTCTTCTGCAGACTCATTTCCAGTCAGTTAATTAATCAATTGACTAATTAATGATAATTTAGGCAGGGGTTCTCTGTGTAGACCAGGCTGGCTCCCAACTCAGAGATTCGCCTGCCTCTGCCTCTCAAGTGTTAGGGTTAAAGGTGTGCGCCACCCAGCAATGCCTGGCTTAGTCCCATATTTTTAATATGGGGAAGTTGAAACAGTTATTATTCCTCCTTAACCAAATCAAGAACATAAAATCTTAGGTATAAACAGTTTTAAAGAAAACAACGAATGCTAGGGCTGTAGCTTATTTGGTAGATCACTCGCCTAGTTTCTACAAGGTCCTGGCTCTGAATTTTGACACTGACAAGCAACATCAACAACAACAACAACCAAACGTAACAAATAAAGCAGTGTCCAAGTTTGGTTAGAAGTCCATTACTCTTCTCTAGTCCTTAAAGAGATTGTAGACATTTAATAGTTAATTTAGAATAGTTTATTAACTTTGCAATTTGAAAAGTATTAACATTAATACATCTTAGGTGATACCAATAAAATTTACTTTTTATTCCATATGTGTTTCCTTTTTATCTCTGTTTTTCTCTGGTTATTAACCAGTAAAAAAAATCTGAGTTATTTACATAGTAGAGCTATGGTTTGTGAGTATGGTTGTTTTAAAAATTGAATGTTGTTCTATGTGCATGATATGTAAGTGAGCACACACTGTGCACATGTGGAAGGTAGAGGAAAACCTAGGTGCTGGTGTTCTCTTGCCCCTTGGCTTAGGAAGGCTTTCTCATGATTTCTATCACACTGTGCACTGGAGGCTACCTGTCACAGGAACTTCGAGCTGGTTTTGCCGTTTCTACCTCACATCTCATGGCAGGAACACTGAGATTGCAGATGCATGCCACCATCCATATTTTTATGTGTGTTCTGGGGCTTAAGTCATTTCATCAGCCTTGTGTGGCAAGCATGTTTCCCTGCTGAGTCATCTCACTGGCCCACATGAATAGATTTTAATGAAACAGAATTCCTTTCTTTTCTTTTTTCCTTCCCCTATCTCCTTTTCTTCCTTCCTCCTTTCTTATAGGAGAATCTTATGTAGCTTAGACTGTCCTTGAGCTTGCTTTGCAACCCAGGCTCGTCATGATTTCATGATTACCCCTGTGTTTGTCTTTTGACTGTTAGAGTTTTAGGTTTGCGATAAATACCCAGCCACTGCGGGAGCTTTTTCTTTTTAAATCAGAATCTTGTAGCTGTAATTTTTCATCATTTACTTCATTTTCAGCAAAGAACTTATGGTATAAGATAAACATTCCAGAGGCATTTCTGTCCATCATTTTAAAAAATTTACATATATTTCTATATCACTTTGGGCTAAGAGTGCTCTTATCAATATTCTCTAACTGAAATCCCAGTGCTTGATTTCTTGATGAAAATCGTTGCTTTGGAAAGGACTTTCATGCTCTTCTTGCCTGCCTCAGGAAAAAAAAAAATCTTTTACTCTGATCTTCTGGTGTGATGGCTATTCTCAGTAGTCAATTTGACTCTATCTGGATTTAACAAAAAAACACAAAGAATAGGGTACTGTTGGGAAGTTTTCTTAATTATAGCTTTTGAAGTGGAAAAACTTTTTAATCTGAATGTTTTTATGCGATAAGATGCACCTTCAATCTGGGCTGCAGGTTTTGGTTGCATCCTACATCTTAGCTCTTTCTCTTTTTTTCTGTTTGCCCTACTTTTGGTTAGTTAATTTTTTTCTAGTATTAGAGCCTGCTTATTTGGAATTGTGGCATACCCTGAAGATCATCTGAGATCTCAGCATTAAATGTCATCTTGTTAGGATTTAGATCATCCGGCTAGAGAGATGGCTTGGTGGCCAGAAGTGTGTACTACTCTCAGAGAGGACCAGGTCTAATCCCAGCAGTCTTCGGCAGTTTACAACCACCTGTCAGTCAGGTTAAAGGAGCTGAAGGCTCTGTCCTCTGGGAGCACCTGTCTTCCCAGCCTCCCACACAGAACATTGGCACAGGCCAGAAGGGCTCTTTATGCTTCTTGCTAGTGCACACTTGCTGATTCTCCCCACCTGCAGATGTGGTTTTGAACCAATTTGTCTCCTGAATTCGCTGTGAGTGGAATAAGATAACTGTGTTTCTCTCTCTTTTTTTTTCTTCTCAATATGCATGTGAGATTTATCCACAGTTTTTGCCACAGTAATTTATTTTTCTATTGCTTGTCATTTCATTTTGCTTTGAAGTCTGTAACTTATTTCACCTACTGTCACTTGAGACATTTGCAGTTTCTGGTCTTAGACCATTTTCAATAAAGTTATAGAGAGTGTTCTTTTACAAATGTCTTGGAAAAATAAGCACTAACTTTTTCTGACTATATCCTGTGAGTTGACCTAAGTATTAAGGTGTATTAATGCTTTGCTAGTGGCTGCTGCTAGTTTTCAAAGTAGTCTCTGCACTTATATTCCCACTAGACAGTATATGAGCATTTCAGTAACTACAGTTCGCTAATTCTTAAATATTGATTATTATTGAAATTCAGCAAATTTGATATTTCTGTATTTGTATTGTTTTGAGTTTTCCTATGATTAATCATACTAAAGTACTTTTTCTTCTACCTATACAATCTTTAGACATTCTTGTTGAAAGTTTTCATTTACAACTTTTTAACATATTTATTGAATATTCTTTTTTATTGCTTTTTAGATATATTTTGTATATCTAGATAAAAATCCTGTCAGATACATATATGATGGAAATTTCCTTCCAAGCTGTAATTTCCTTTTTTTTTTTTTTTTTTTTTTCATTCTGTTAATGCTGTCTTTGGGTGAGCAGGTTTTCTATAATAATGCATTTAAGGAATCAACTTTTATTTTTTTCATCTTTATTTACTGTGTATGGATATTTTGACTGCCTGCATGTATGTCTGTACCCTACTTGTGTGCAATGCCTACTGAGGCCAGAGAAGGGCATTAGATGCCTTGCAGTTAGACTCAAAGATGGTTGTAAGCTATATGGGTGCTGGGATGGAACCTAGGTGCTCAGAAAGAGTAGCCAGTGCTCTTACCTGCTGAGTTATTTAGTTATTTCTCTCTCTCTCTCTTTTTTTTAAAACCAGCGGGTTATTGTATTTTAAAAAGTTGTACTTATCTGAAGTTAGAAAGCCAGTCTCTCTTATTTTCTTTATTATTATTTTTCATTGTTTTTACCTTGAGCATTTGGTTTTCTTACCACGTTCAGACTAACTTTTGTGTGTGTTAGGGGTCAGCATTTACTCAATTTTTTTCTGGGTTTAAAATGACTTATTGCCCTTTATTGAAAAGATACTTCTTTCCTTACCAGTTTCTATTGGGAATCAGGTGAAGTCCATGGGAGACAGCTTGTTAGTGTAGCTGCCATAGCTGGCCCCACACCCCAAGTGGGGGTTGTTCTCTACTTGAAAGGGTTTGCGTATCACTGAAATGCTGTTTTTAGAATTATTACAAATTATTATTATCTTTACTGAGAGTCTCATCATGTAGCTCTACGTGGGTTAGAACTCACTGTGTAGACTTGGCATTCTTGGTTGGCAGTTTTTTATTTCAGGGCTTGATGTATATCATTCCTTGCTTTCCTGACAGAGTTCTTAAGAGACCTGGCATCTCTTACGTGTTTTCTTTGTAGGTGAGCTGGTGCTTTCTCTTACAACTCTTAATGTTGTTTCTCTGTTTTTGAAGTTTTAACGACTTAATTGTAATAAATCTCAGACATTATATTAATAATAGAGAATCAAAAAGAAGATGGGAATGAGGAAAGAGAACAAGAGGGAATGAAATAGGAAAAAGAGGAAAAGTATATGAGTTAGAGGTAAGAGAAGTACTAGAGAAAACACCATAGAATGGGTTCAGAAAAGAACAAACAAACAAACAAACAAACAAACAGCAATGAAATCCATGAAGCAAGATGAATGCTAAAACAACTAAACAGTCCCGTAAAAAGTGAGAATGAAAACAATATAAAATTAGGAAGTAGGAGAGAATGAGCATGTCATCAGTTAGCACATTCTTTTAAATGCCATGATTGGCATTTTAAAAAAATGTGGGTCTTAGGGATTGAGCTCAGGTTCTTGTGCTAGTGAGTGAGCCGCCACCTAGGTTCTGTCTTGCAGCTGCTGTAATTTAGGAAGAGGAATCTTTCTGCATATCAAAATAAATGGCTCCAGAGAGTTTTCTCCACCGGATTAGGTTCCTGCACAAGACTAAGTTTGGTCTGGGAGTTCCTCCTTCCTAGCTATGGATTGCCACATCTCTCTTTAGAGAAATTATGTACTTCATGTAGTGGAGCCTAAAACGAGGTGGACTAAAGTCCATGCAATAGCCAACATTATTCACAGCCTCAAACAATTTATGCTCGGAGGGTTGGGAATTCCATGAGTAAAGTGTACAATCAGAAGGACAAGATGTATGTAGCACAAACATGTTTTTCCATAGAGGCATATAAACAAATAACAGTATCCAGTTGTAATGAATGATCTAAAGTAGACTCACTCCTATCTGCTATACCTGGGAGGGTTATGAAAGCACATTTCAAGAACAATTCTGTGATTATTTAAAGAAACTGAGGTCACAAGACTCTTGTTTTGTTTTTATGGAGTTTTCTCACAAGCGTTCAGAAGTCCCCTCACATGACTCCGTTCTTGGACTGTGTTCCAACAACAAAGGAAGGAAACAACAGCATTAGCAGCCCATAAAATGATAATGCTCCTTCTCCTCCTCTTTTCCCTCTCTTTCTCCTCCTTCTCTTTCTTCTTCCTTCTGCCGCCTTCTCCTTTTCTGTCCCCCGCCTTTTTTTTTTTTTTTTTTTTTTTTTGCTTTTCTGAGACAGAGTTTGTAGCTCTTGCTTCCTGGAATTCATTCTGTAGACCAGGCTAGCTTCCAGCTTGGAGATCAGCCTGCCTCTGCCTCCTAAGTGCTGGGATTAGGGGCATTTACAATCTTGCAGGATGGCAAAGAACTCTTTACCAGCTGCATTCCACACTGGGCTAATATCCAGATAATGCAAAGAACTGAAGAATTTAAATACCAAGGAAATAAAACTGACAATGTACCAGTGATCAGATGGACCAAGGATCAAGTTAACAAAGAAATACAAATGACCAATAGCTAAGTGTTCACTATCCCTGGCTGTCATAGAGACGCAGTTTTAACTGCTTTGCGGTCTCACCTCACCACAATCCAAATGGCTGCCATCCAAAAGCACGACAGAGATGTTGGAGAGTATGTGAGAGAAAGGAGCCCGCAATCATGGGAAGGCTCCAGATTAACATCACCCTTGTGGAAATTAGTGTGGAGAGCTCTCAGAAATTAAAAGTAGGCCTACCGTGTGAGCCAGCTCTCTCTTCTGGGTACACGAAGAGCTCCACACCTACCACAGAGATATTTGTATCCTCAGGTTGATTGAGCTTTAGTCACTCTAACACAGTTGGCCTTCACCAGATAACTAGATAGCAGCTATATACAGAATGCGGTATTACTCGGCTCTAAAGACACATGAAGTTAAAAACTGCAGAAAAATGGATGGATTTAGAATGTAAGGTCACATATCTCAGAAAGAAAAGAAATGTATGTAATTCTTTCATGAATAATAGATGTATATATATGAACAGATGTACATGTAGGTACCAGTATGACAAGAGGAAAAGAGAACAAGAAAGACTAAATATAAGAGGTAAAGGAGGATTAAATGCAGGAAATGGACATGGGTTATAAAAGAAGTTAATTGGGATTTTGTTGTTGTTCTAGTTCTGTCATGACTCTTTTGTTATGTTTTGTGAGGCAAAGTCTTACTCAGTAGGCTGAAACTTACTATATATCCTAGGCTAGCCTCAAATATTTGGTAATCTTTCTGTCTCAGTATCCCAAGAGCTGGGATTACAGGTGTGATCAGGTTTTCCCTGCTGTGTGTTCAGTGTCCCATGTTCTGAGTGGTTGGGTAGATGGGCTGTGGGACACAGATACACTTGTGTTAACCTTTGCTGCTTGGGCTCTCCTCCCATCAGAAAAGGACTCTGGCTGTTTTTCTGCCCACAGTGTGTAGGTTTACCTGAATATACCATATTACCACTCTGTGTTCAAAAATTGTAATGCTTACTTCTTAGTCTCAGGTCAGAGTTCCCCGCGAGCCATGGTTCTCAACCTTCCTAATGCTGTGGCCATTTAATGCAGTTAGCTTCTCAAGCTATGGTAACTCTCAACCATAAAATTATTTTCATTGCTACCGTACAGCTGTAATTTTGCTACTGTTATGAATCATAATGTAAATATTGATATGCATATGGTCTTAGATGACCCCTGTAAGATTCTTTTGACCCCCAAAGGGGTAGCTATCCACAGGTTGAGAACCATTGCCCTACTGCCTTGTCTAGCCTCAATAGGAGAAGATGCCTTTTGTCTTACTGCAATTTGATATGCCAAGGCTGGTTGATATCTATGGGAGACCCCCCTTTTCTGAAGAGAAAGTGAGGAGAAGGGCTGGGAGGAGAGAAGGGAGAAGAAATTGTGGTCAGGATGTAAAGTAAGGGACTGGAGAGATGGCTTAGTGTGTAAGAGCAGTGGCTGCTCTTCCGGCAACCACATGGTGCCTCACAACTATCTGTAATGTGATCTGACATCCTCTTCTGGTTTGCAGGTGTATCTGCAGATAGAGGATTCCATATATAAAATAAATAATTTTTTTATTTTATTTTTTTTTAAGGATTTATGGCAGAGGGAGAAGACAGGGAACAGGACAGGAGCCCACCACAGAGGGCCCCTGAAATATTCTACCCAGCAGTGTATCAAAGCAGATGCTGAGACTCATAGCCAGACTTTGGGCAGAGTGCAGGGAATCTTATGAAAGAAGGGGGAGATAGAAAGACCTGGAGGGGACAGGTGCTCCACAAGGAGACCAACAGAACCAAAAAATCTGGGCACAGGAGTCTTTTCTGAGATTGATACTCCAACCAAGGACCATGCATGGAGATAACCTAGAACCCCTGCACAGATGTAGCCCACGGCAGCTCGGTGTCCAAGTGGGTTCCCTAGTAATGGGAACAGGGGCTGCCTCTGACATGGACTCAGTGGCTGGCTCTCTGATCACCTCCTCCTGGGGGTGGGAGGCAGCCTTGCCAGGCCACAGAGGAAGACAAGGCAGCCAGTCCTGATGAGACCTGATAGGCTATGGTCAGAGGGAAGGGTAGGAGGACCTCACCTATCAGTGGACTTGGGGAGGGGTATGTGAGGAAATGGAGGAGGGAGGGTGGCTTTGGGAGGGGACGAGGGAGGGGGCTACAGCTTAGATACAAAATGAATAAATTGTAATAACTAAATAAAGAAAAAAGGATTTAAAGCAATCAAGCAAACAAACAAATAAATAACATCCAAGTTAAAAAACAAAAAAGAGAACCACTTCCTTAGAGAATCTTTAAGCTATTATTGTGTTCATGTGTGTAAGTAAGTAGCTTTGGTGTACATAAAGAAAAATTTCCAAGGCATTTTAAAGTTGTCTTACTGAAATAGTCATGAAATGAAGTGGAGGAATATGAAGATATTTCTGACTTTTTTATACCAATTTTATTTTATAGGAATCAAGAATCCAGTCTCAGTTGCAAATAGACTCTTGTGTGAAGGACAGAAGGGCAAGCTGTCTGCAGGCAGAATTCCTCCCTGGTAACCACTTTGTTTCTTTTGACTTCTGCTGGATTGTTAGTGTGTGATGGCTGCTTTAATTCATAGGGGACTGCTGCTCTTGGTTCCTCGCAGCAGTAACATGCTTTAGACTAAGGCATACTTTGTTCTGTAATGGTGGAGCACTATATTGTTGATAAGCTCTAGATGGAATAGAATGTTGTGGATCAAAGGAGGTTGGAGTTAGTTTCTGGATTTATGTGTTGTTAATTCTCAAGAGGATTTTGTGTTGCTGAATAATCAGTTAGGATTATTTTGTTGTGAATCTCAGAACCTGTCATAGATACTGGGGCCTATTGTCTGAAGTAATTAGTTTTGGGATATTCTTAGAAAAATATACATTGCATATTGTGACTAGTCATGATTCAACTACTATCCAGCACTAATGCTTAAGAATGTCTTGTCTTTCACCTTATTCATCTTAACGAGAAGAGATAAAAAGGATTAAGAGATCATTAAAACAGACTTACAAATTAGTGTCTGTATGTTTATGTGTGTGTGTGTGTGTGTATCTCAGTCGTTTGTGGTGGGAAAAAGATGTACTACAAGATGTGCCTATTGTTCCCCCATGGTGTAGCCCATTACCCCAATTGGTCATCACATTATTTAGAAAAGCACAGAACAAATTAAAGTTTGAAAAGTGGGTTGGAAAGATGTATGACTCAGAGGTTAAGAGCACTTGATTAACCCTGAATCTTTTCATAGTACCCATATGGTGTTTTATACCTATATATAACTCCAGTTCCAAGGGACCTGATGCCCACTTCTGACCTCTGTGCATACAAGGTATATGAATGGTATATATACATGCAGGCAAAACACTCATACACATAAAGAAAAAATCAGTCTTAAAAAAAGTACAGTATAAAATTTTCTCAGTATAAAGCTATAAACAGCCTAAATGACTGAGTGGTTAAAATTTTTGCTTTCTAGTCCTGTTACTAAGTACAGAGAAGAATAGTGACAGTAATGTTAATTTATGTCACAGCACAGAATCTTCTAGCAAATGTTTACACAAAGTTTAAACTCTCACAAATGTAGATATTGAGACATTCAAACTCACAGTTGTAGCCTGTTGGGTTTGATGTGGGCTTTCTTCTTGCCTTGCAGATAGTTGCTATCTTGTGTTGTCCTCTCACTGGAAGTGTATGGGAGAGGGAAGGGGGAGAGCAAGTTACAGAGGGACAAATGGGGAGAGGAGGGTAAGAAGAGAGGAAGAGAGAAAGAGGAAGAGGGAGGGAAGGAGGAAGAAGAGGGGAGAGGGAGAAGACAGTGAGAGGAGAGAGAAAGTGACAGAGGTGGGTTGGGAATGTGTTTCTTCTCTAAGAACAGTAATACTTGTCATGGGGATCTTACCCTCATGGTGAGCTCCCTCATTCCATAGCAGTAGATCTCTACATTGTAGAACTGAAAAAGAAAGTTAACTTATAGTTTGTTTCTTTTTGATATGTTGAGACAGGATCTCACTGTGTAGGTTTGGCTGACCTGGAACTTGATTCATAGTTTAGGCTGGCTTGAACTCACAGAACATTGTCTGCCTCTGATTCCGGAGAGCCCAAGATAAGCTGTGCACCACCATGCCCAGCTATAGTTTCTAAACCAACCAGCCAACCAACGAACCAACCAACCAATCAACCAACCAAGCAAACAAACCCTCAAATCCCGAAAAAACCTACAAAATAATATTATGAACAATTTAATACCACCTAATAAAATATAATATAAAATATAACCAAAACATTTGAGGTTATCTAGACTGAGCTTTTCTTTCTTCATTCTTCTTTTAAGATAGGATATTGTCATTTAGCCCAGAGTGGTCTCGAACTTGTGATTTTTCAGCCTCTTGATTGCTAGGAGTACAGGTATTAAACCATCAGACTCAGCCAACTAAAGTCTTATTAGTGGATCCTCATCTTTCACACTGTCCCATATTCCCGTGCTGAGCTGTGGAGTTCCTGTGTCTAGTAACAATTGTCCTGAATTGAAGCGTTTCTAATTTTTCTAATTTTTCAGTAGACTTTTATGTGACTTGTATTTTCCATTTACATGTTAACGTATGCTTTACCTAGTTGTATTTTTAGACTAATAAAAATATGCATTGTAGTCTTACTTTTTATTTCTGCCGTGAGACACCATGACCAAGCAGTTTGTAGAAGAGTGTTTAACTGGGCTTCCTTCCTGTTCAGAGGGTTGGAGTCCATTATGGCAGAATGGAGGCATTGCAGCACAAGCTGTGAGCTCATAGTCACAAGCAGGGAAACAGAGCTAACTTGAAATGGCGTGAGCTTTTTCTTTTTTAATTAAAACATTTTAAAATTCACTTCACATCCTTGTTGTAGCCTCATCCTCCCTCCCAGTTCCACCTTCCCATCCTCCCCCCCCCCCCCCCCTTTTCTCAGAAATGGGGAGCTCCCCTTCCCCCCCCGCCTCGCTCTTCAAGTTGCCTCAGGACTGAACATATCCTCTTCTCCTGGCGGGACTGACCCGCCAGGGGAAATGATCAAGATGCTGGCAAGTGAGCCCATGTCTGATGCAGTCCTCACTTCCCTTACTAGAGGACTCACATGAGGCCTAAGTTGCCCATCTACTACATCTTCATAGAGGGCTTAGGTGCAGTTCATGCAAGGTCCTTGGGTGATGCTTCAGTCAGCAAGCCCCTCTGGTTCCTAGCGGTGGTCTTCCTGTGGAGCTCCTGTTATCTCTGGGCCCTTTTCTCTTTCCTCCCACTTTTCCACAAGACTCTTCTCAACCTTGGCTGTCCTGGAACTCACTCTGTAGACTAGAATGGCCTTGAACTCAGAATTCTGCCTGCCTCTGCCTCCCGAGTACTGGGATTAAGTGGTGCGCCACCACCATCCAGCTGGTGTGAGGTTTTTGAAACCTTAAAGCTTACCCCTGGTAACATACTTCCCCCGGCTAGTAGTGTACACGTCTTTGTTCTCTGTAACAGCCATCACCTGGGCACCAAGTGCTCAAGTGCTTGAGATTTATGAGGGACCTCTCATTCTAACTACCTCATGTGTAGGGTTAGAGGGACCTCTCATTCTAACTACCACCTCTCATTCTAACTACCTCATGTGTAGGGTTATTGGACACTTTGGAAGGATTAGGTAACCGACTATGGGTTGCTCATAAAGGGAAGAAGGAAGAAACAAGTAGTTGTTAGAATCACTTCTTGTGCTCTTGGAGTTCTTTTCAGAAAGCCCTTGTCTGTTCCTATAACTGGAAGTCTTTTTCCTCATATCTTCTAGTATCAAAGTTTAGGGTCCTACTTAAGGCCTTCCATTCATTTTAAATTGACTGTTGTCATGTGAGATACACAGATTTCATTTTGTTGTTCTACTTATGAAAACACAGGTTTTCCAGCACTCTTTGTTGAAGAAGCTCAGTTCTTTGCTGTGTGTGTCTGCATTTCTGGGTTTCTACTTAGCCACGTATGAATGTAAACTATAGTGTGCTGTGTTGCTCAATAGTGATGCTAGGTAGGTTATACATGTCAGATATTTTTGTTGTTCTTATATGGGTTCTTGCTATGTTGCATAGGCTATCTTAGAACTCAGCATTTAGCATGAGCTGGCCTACTTCTGTCACTTGAGTGAGGAGGGATGACAGATGTCTGTGACTATGCCCTGTTATCAGATGTGTTTTTCACTTTTGATATTTTGTTCCCTTTCCTTCCTTTGCTAGATCTTGCATACACTAGGCAAACGTCATGTCACTGACCTATGCTTTCATCCCATTTGAGGACATTTCCCTAAATAATAGGTGTTCTAGTTTGTTTCTCTGTTGCTACACTAATCATGGACCAGAACCCCTTTGGAGAGGGAATAGTTTATTTGGCTTACCATTTCATATCACAGTCATCATTCAGGCAAGTCAGAGTAGGAACACAAGCCAAAGCTGGAGGTAGGAAGTGAGGTCAATACTGAGGAATGCTGAATCCTGGCTTGCTTTCTCTGGATTGGTCAACTACCCTTGTTAGTAAACTGCCCACACATGGACACGCCCACAGGCCAATCTGAAGGCCCTCCCTCCACTGAAGATCCCTCCTCCTGGGTGTGTCAAGCTGAAGCTAGCTCTGACAGTGGGTGCATCTGCATGCTCCTCTCCATTTAGGAACAGCCGGATATGGCTCATGTATAGGTCTACAACTTCCTGACTTTGTTTTTCTTTCCTTTTTCTTCCTTTCACTTGGAAGTTTCCATTGCTTGTGCTTGACCATTCTCCTGTGGTATCCAGTCACCAGAAAAATCCCATGCAGTCTAGTTTGTTATTTCTTACTTCTCAGTTATTTTCATACATTTGATTACTGCCTTTAAAAAAGGCTTCTGTCTATGAATATATATGAATGGGGTTATTAATTGCTTTAATATCTTTGTTTACTGGTTTATCATTTTTATTACTTTTAGAATATGTTGAGTTGGGTGATCCTCCCACCCCCGGTTATATTTTTCTGCTTGGTAGTTGTTTTTTTTTTTTTTATTACATTGCTGGCATTGTAAATTTTACATTTTTGTGTATTGAATTTTTTATATTTTAGTAGGAATTCTTAAATTTTATTTCAGGATGTGACAAAGTTATTTAAAAAGTTTGGTTCTTTTCAGGTCCTGCTTTAGACTTTGTTTCACAGGCCTACAGAATGCATTTAATGTTGAGCTAGTTTTGACTTGTTATAAGGCAGAACTCTTAGAGTATTATATCAGATGATGTCAGAGTGAGAAAGTTTCTTCTAGGTGTTGGGACCTTAAAGTGTACTTGGCCCTATCTGAACTTGTTGCCTTTGTAGTTGTAGGTTGTGTGTGTCAAGGCTTTGGGTAATTCTGTCTTTCTTAGGTTGTGATCATCATTCAGCAAACTGCTAAAAAGGTACTTTCTACAGATCTCTGGGGTCTTCTCTGTGCAGTTGTTTTCACTCTGGTACTTTGTCCTGTGAACTCCAGCCATTCTGGCTTCTAGTGGCCCAGTTCCATCTGTTTGCCCTA